CCACCTTTAGGGCTGAATGGGGAGATACAGAGCCTGCAGAGGGAGGGCGCCTTTCCCCCCGGCCTGAGGCGGCAAAAAGACTAGGACCACCACTGGTTATAACCCTCCATTATGGTATCCAAAACGAAAAAAAAAAAAAAAGGTATGGCTTCAACAAGATGGCCAGTTATATTTTACCTTTATAAAATGACAGCTGGTCCCCGATTGGCAACTTTATACAGCACACACTCTCTTGCTTCCTAAAAATTTTTATAGGTCAGATTAATATCTGTATCATCAAGCTCCACATAAACCTTATGATGATCTGGATGAGTGCAGCAAATCAGTGCTCAACATTATTAATTATAGACAATGTCCACTTGCTAAGCTTACACTCACCAGCTCTCCCAGCCATACGTTACACTCTTCCTCCAGTGTCATAAAATATTAAAGCACGTCAGCCCGTTTGTCTTTCCATGTTTCTTCTCTGCTTAATTGATTTTATCCCAGGAAGCTCTGGCTCACTAATTTTAGCCAACAGGCGTGTGCATCCTCACAATCTATGGAATATTGCAGATTACCCACTAATTAATTGAGTGTTCACACAGCTGAACAGTCCAACGTGCAGCAAAAACAAGGTTAAAATTAGCACACTATACATAACTACATACAGCTCCAACTTTCCAGTGGGGGAAATATTCTGAATTGTGACGCATACCAGCAGTGAAATCTATGGAAAAATAAAATATCCGACCTTACGGGAATTCTTTTATTTTTCTGTTTAGAAGAAGGAGATACACTGTATGCAGTTGGTGTGCAAGGAGGCGAGTAATTCATTATACATGGTAAGTCATCCATGCATATCTGTGCAGAGAGAAATACAAAGGCCAGGGGTAGGCAACCTCAGCACTCCAGCTGTGGTGAAACTACACAGCCTATCATGCGTGTGCCACTGGGAGTCATGCCTTTGGCTGTCAGGGTCTTGCAATGCCTCATGGAACTTGTAGTTCCACAGCAGCTGGGGTGTCAAAGTTGCCTACCTGTGATATAAGCTATCATTTGTTTTTTTTTTTAGTGTATGCTGCAGAGCTATTTCACTATGCAGTGAGCAACTGACTTTGTCAGCATGTAGGGTGGGAGTTCATGCTTTTAAAAATGTTTACTAATCGCATGTTTCTTCCAGGTTAGCATCCCATAGGAAGTGGAGCCAGGATCAGAAAGATAGCCATGCAGCTTGTACTTAAAAAAAAAACAGTCTGCAATGGCAGACAACATATTTCTCCTAGCTTGGATTTCCCGAAAAGTGAACATGCGATTATGGATGTTCAAGTATTTACCTATTCTTCACAAGCAGTAAATGAGCTATAACCCTTTTACTGGGGCTGCTGTTACTAATATTGGGTCACCAGTGCTGGCATGTGACAAACTCCTAGCTGCTGAGTGTGTTTACCAGTTTAGTCCCATCTGGCACATCTCTGCTTTCAACTGTAAAGCTGCCCAATCACTTCTGCATTGCTGGTAAGGTGCCACCCCCTTCCCCATATGCCATGTGTGTCGGGTTTACCTGTCCATCTTGGATTCCGTGGACCTCCATGGCAGGTGTCAGCAGGGAGGGTGGGAGGAGATCAGTGAACATCTGTTTAATGATCTCCCCTAGGTAATATGAACCTGGAAGCGCTCAGCTCTTAGCACTTCCACGTTCAAAGCTGTCAAACCTCTGGGCAGGAAATAAGCTGATTGAGCACAGCCTGTGCTCGGTCAGCTTTGACAGAGTGCAGAGGTGACATTATGGGTCTAATAGACCTTTGATGCCTCCTTGAAGAGAACCTGTCACCTGCACTATACTAACGGGATAATCAGCCCCCTTATGATAGCAGGGCCATTAATAACTGTTAACTCTAAATTGATGATCTGTAATGGCTTTTAAAGAATCGCCTATGGAAAATTTCAGTTACCTTCGTTTTTCACAGTTTCACAGGCGTGCACAATTTTTAAGTTTTACCTATTTGGTATCAATTTATTCACGAAACCTCATCTTTTATTTTTTTTTATCACGAGATTGGTAATATATTGTGTTTGTATGCACTAAAATAATTTAAAAGTATTTTGTTACTGAAAATATAGATTTGATAAACAGTGGCACATATGTAACATGACTGCCACCATTTTGTTCTACAGGAGCTCTATATTAAGAAAATATATAATATCTGGGGGATTTCACATAAAGGGTAATTCACAAAGCTGCCAAAGGATCCAGCCATAGCTTTGGCTGATCCTTCAGCTCGCTTCGGTTGCGGGAGCCCTTCGGTTCAACTATTCACTATAGCCCGAAGGCGGCCGAGTGGCTCAGCCGAGCCAAAGGCATATGTTTCGGCTCGACTGATCTGAAGTGACAGCCGAAGCAGGGGGACTCTAGCAGGTGCCGGCCAATAGGAAACAGTTGGGCGGAGCTAGCTGTCACTGCTAGCTCCGCCCAATTGTTTTTATTTATTTATTTTCTTTTTTAAGAAATCTTTATTTAATTTAAAATGAGCATATGTAAATACCTTAATGTCCATAGCCCACGGTACAGATTCACGTTAAAGCCCACCTCCAGCCTAAAATGTTTGCAATACTTTTGGATTGAGCAGAGAAGAATTAGAACTTTTGTCAGGTTTTGATTGCTGTGTCTCTATTAATTTAGCCCTATTACTTTGTCTATTCTCATTGGGGAGATTTCTTATCATTTCTTGGGCCCCTGTCATTTTGTGCTGAAACTGGTGTTTAAAATGATATATACCCACAAATTTTGTTTCCTTTTTTACAATTCCAGAGATGCTTATATACCACCCAGAACCCTGAAAATGGTGTGCCTGCATCCACATGACAGTATACAGTACACTTACCTAGAGCAAATATTCGAAACTTCTATTGCATTATGGGAGGTTAATATGTACTGAGAAGATAACAGAGCTATATAAACAGAGTACTAAAAATCCACTGGGGTTGTAATATGTAGAAGATTATGCAGCTCTTAGCATTATCTTTTTTTAGGGTAATAAATCATAGGTTGTGCTAGTTTTATTTGTAATGTTTTAAAGCCTAACCTATAATCCCAACTTTCTGAGATGACAAAGAGGGGCACCTTCTAGCACAATGGGGGGAATTCATGAAAACTGGAGCAGACAGAATCTGGGGCAGTTGCCCATGGCAAGGAATCGGTTATTTGGTTCCAAAAGAGGGACAATCCCTTCAAATGAGAGACAGTTGGAAAAGATGACTAACCTTCTAATGCTGATGTACATCAGAAGGAGCTGTGACACTGGTGCTTATTAATAACAACATGGAGTTCTGGCACTGGTGCTTACTGATAATCCACACCGTGGAGCTGTGGCACTGGTGCTTATTGATAATCCACAACATGGAGTTGTGACACTGGTGCTTATTGATAATCCACACCGTGGAGCTGTGGCACTGGTTCTTATTGATAATCCACAACATGGAGTTGTGACACTGGTGCCTATTGATAATCCACAACATGGAGTTGTGACACTGTTGCTTATTGATAATCGACAGTGTGGAGGTGTGACACTGGTGCTTATTGATAATCCACAACTTGGAGTTGTGACACTGGTGCTTATTGATAATCCACAGTGTGGAGGTGTGACACTGGTGCTTATTGATAATCCACAACTTGGAGTTGTGACACTGGTGCTTATTGATAATCCACAGTGTGGAGGTGTGACACTGGTGCTTATTGATAATCCACAACTTGGAGTTGTGACACTGGTGCTTATTGATAATCCACAGTGTGGAGGTGTGACACTGGTGCTTATTGATAATCCACAATCTGGAGTTGTGACATGGGTGTTTATGATAATCTACAATGTGGAGTTGTGACACTGGTCTTATAGAAAAACTGACACTGGAGAGCAAATTAGAAGTTACTGACATTTTCCATTCTGCTGGTATTTCCGATCCTTCACTTCTCTACATAAATTGGTGAAGGAATAAGACTTTGTTATCATTTAAAAGCAGAGGGGCGACGACTCGATAATTGCAAGCGATGCTCAGCATAAGGTGAACCATAAAAACTCGCTTTTATAAATCCATCTATGGCCAGCGTGACTGTAAAATTCACAAGACTGACAGTCAATCTGGAAACCACCTGCCTTTTGTAAGAAGAATTATTACATCTGCTTGGCAGCAAGGGACGCAGTTTCAAAAAGCGAGACACCTATGTCAACTTTTAGGTGGATGCGCCCCCTGAATCCATTTGTGGAACCTTAGCGTAGCTATCAGTGCAATACATTTGAATGATGTTAACATTCTATGTAATACACCCTAACAGTTGTCTCATTTAGAATAAAGTTTACTATATTCATATAAACTTTTTTAAGTCTTGCTATTGGTATGTTGACTTTGTTTAAGGAAGGCAGAGGTTGGTGCTTTTTAAGGAAGTCTATGGCTGGATTTTTATAACCTTATGTCTTGATTAGCATTCTTGGTTAGAAGCTAAAACCATCTTGCCCCTGCCTTGACCTTTGACCCTGACACAGTTGACCTCCGAAGTAAATGAACCTGAAAATGTCAGTCTGATTGCACCGAAAGGCATTATACAGATCTGCAGACGCATGTCGCGGGTAGCTAATAATGTGTTATAATGAGGACTCGTATTTACATACGATTTCTGTGACCCACTGCCGGGGTACGTATGCAGCCATTTCCATAGCTCAGAAAGGTCTCCCAAACTTTGCTGCAGTGCCTAATATTTCTCAGCATCCCAGGGGTTAAATAATATACATTATCTTTTACCCTAATGTGAACAGATCTCACCGTAGTAATATGCTAATTGAAAATAATCGTGGCATTTTGCGAGCTGTTAGATTAATGGAGGCTCAGCATGCACGCCTTGAAAGGAATGCACAATAATAAAAGAAGAGTAGTGAGTCAGAGAAGCAAAAGGAATAAGTGTTTGGATTAATAACGGGAAAAAAAAAATTCCCTAGAGCCGCTGAGCATTTTTTTTTTATAGGAGAGATCTGATGCTTATTCTACCAAAGGGATTCCTCCTCAAACCGAAATTAATAATTTATTCATAGGCTCAAGTCACTTAGCCTGCATTGATCTAGCAAGGCTGTCTTTCTTTCCCTTTCATTCATAAGCGTTTAAGTTCCAGATTTCTCCAAGCAGCAGCTGCTGCTGCAGCTGTGATAGGATGCAAACGTGCATCTATGCACAAGGACAGGCTACGTACGACTTAATTGAGGCGAGCCGGGTGATTGTCCTTATCACTGGAAAACTGCCTGCGATCCCAACATGACATGTCAGCGAGGTTTCGCCTCTCATCCGCAGCTTCCTCTCCACTTTGTCAGCAAGCTTCTGCTCGGCTGGATGTAGTCTGGCTGTTCGCGCAACAAAAGCTTCTATGCAGTACGGCACTGAATGAATTGGGGGAACTCTCTGTCTCTGGTGGGTGTTCATTGTCCCTTGTGTCAGCATCCCCCCCACCCTGCAACTAGAGCGACTGTCCCTCCGAGAAGATTCACTTGCCTGATAACTGCTCTCCTTGTCAACTCTTCCTTTAATTCCTGTCCTCCTAGTCTTGTTTTATTATATATTATACGCTTGGTCCATCTCGCCCAAGTTCCCCCTTTTTTTTTCCTTTTTCCTATTTGTCAGCACTTTTCCATTAATGCCTGTTCTTGCTCCAGTGAAGCAGCACTAGACTTGATATGGGATGAAGGCTGGATGTTGCCGGCAACATAAAGGAGACCTGGAGGCAGCTTCCCATTTGTAAAGTGAGCAGTAATTGTGAGAGGACAGACTGCACAGTTGGAATCAATAGTCTGCTTTCTTGCAGCTAAGAGCACTCCAGTCTCGCAGTAGGTCAGGGAAGTAACTCCAGTGCACTGCTGACTGCAGAGTTGTAGAGGAGTAGAAGGCACGAGGCTGCAGTGCTGGTACATCACGCTTCCTGTTACCAAGGACACAACTTTTCAAGTCATCACAGGCTTCTCCTCATACTCTTACACCAGAATCCCGGGGACCGCTCTAGGATGGATGATCAATGATCAGCACTGATTCCTTCCAAACTGCTCCTCTAAGGTGAAATAGATTCTCTGCCCGTGCTTTCATTTTACTGTACAAACCTCTAAAGACATGAGACAAGGAGCCATGCAAGGCATTTTCACTTTTCCTCTAGCTTTTGGGATCTTTTTCTTTTTCTTCTGGATAGCTTTGCATACGACGCTAAAGCCAGCGATTGGATCGGAACAGCAGATCCCCTTATCTATGTAAGTGACACATCTCTTTTTTTTTCTTTTCGCAGCCCTGCATATTTTAATTTTTTTTTATGGCCGAGGATGTGGCGTAAACTTATCTGTTGTGAAGCAAGTTTGCGAGACTGCAGCTATTTTTTTTTTCAAGAGCCTTTTTAATGTCCCCCTATTAAAAGCAGTCAGGCGGGGAGCCGAATATGGCTTTTTTGTTCCCCTTTGCCACCCCCAGATCATTTACCTGCTGTAGAATTTTTGACCTTGCTTGCCGATTTTGCAGGCGTCCTTTTGATACTGTCATTTTTATCCACATCCGTTGTGGCATTAAATTGGTGGTGAATGAAGCGGATCTTAGCACAGCTAACAATGTAATTTCTAAGGCAGTTAAAGCAAAATCTTCACTGTAGCAGTTTAAACAAAAGAAGCTCGCAACTGCAGCAAAGGCAAGAGACAAACAAGAAAGGCCTTACCTTTTTCTTGGGAGCTAAATGTATTAATGCTTTGGTTTTGCAAGTAGCTTAAGTGCCTTGATATTTGTGATGCCTTTATATATGTCTTTTCGAGGTCATGTTACTATCCGTGTGATGCCGGTACATTACATCTCTCTCTATATCTTGTCTTGCTAGGGTGAAGCTTTGGGCCTCGGCGTTTGGTGGGGAGATCAAATCCATAGCTGCTAAGTACTCAGGTTCCCAGCTTCTGCAGAAGGTAAGCGCTGTGTGTTTGTGATGCTCACTACCGATCGCAGCAGTTTGGCGCATTGGGAAAGCCATACCGATAGCACAGTCTGATGGAGCTTCTCCCTCCATGCAATCAGCCTTTATTATATCGTTGAATCTAAAAATAACTGGTTAATTAAGCCATTATACCTAATTGCAAAAATACGACAAAATGAACAGACTGTCTAGCAGTGGCATCCAGGAATTTTTTCACGGGGCACGATAGGTTTGTATATTTGGGTTCCCATGCCTAGCTACTAACAGCTGGTAGAATGAAAATGGCTAGCTTAATTCCAAGACCATATTAGTGTTTATTTTCCAATTCCCCCGGCTTGTATGTGTCAGAGGATTGCATGGTACAGGCGTCAGGAGGCACAGCCGTATTGTCATCTCCGCAGTTCTTCCAATCCCATTATTCCCCAATCATCTCGACCCAGAGCTCGGATGTATTACATCATTACAGATAAGAGGCTGGGGCTGTGGTTATCTCCCCGCTCAGCCGCACAGCTGGGTAATAACCCAAAGAAGTCGTGTACAAACTTGAGGAATCTGTCTAAGTTGAAATTATTGCAGTCTGTAATGAGCAAGGTGAAACAGAGATTATCAGCACGGCGGCAAAAGCTGCACCTTTTCCCAGATTAAAGGCGTACGTCAAAGCCCCACAAACCATTTTGATGAACTGTTCGTGTCGATAAGACTGTAACATGCAGCTCCAACTTCGTTTATTTTGACCGGTGACAGTAGTAGTCCATTGGTATATTTAGAGTTAATTAACATGGCACCTTGTCCGTAGGAATTATTAAACTCATAACAATAACAAAGTGTTGAATTCTATATATAAGGCGTAATAGACATGGGCAGTTTTTTGCTAGCAGTGTGGAACATACTGTACAAGGATCGCTAGCGATAGAAATTATCAATATCAAGCAGTTACAAGTGACAAAACTCTGCATTATCAGTCAAAGGGATCTTGATTGACCCTTGAAAATCGCTACACTTGATTAAGAAACGCCTTGTTTTTGCTTTGTTTTGGAACAAATCCTTTGAGCACATATCGACAATAATCTGAGCCATGGAAAAAGATCACAGCAGGTGTGTGATGCTAGTTCCAGTAATAGGTGGATCTTTTATCAAATATGATGATCAGTCTGCTAGTTTATGGTCGTCTTTGGAGTGGTCTTGCAATGTTGATTAGTAATTTTTTGAACTGGTAGTCTCAATATCTTGGCAGTAGCTAAATGACTGTAGGTGATCGATCAGTCAAGAGCTGCAGGCTAGGAATAAATGTATGTGACTCATAAGATCTTCAGCAAAATATTTGGTTAATTGTTTGCTAGCATATTTGAAGTTTTGGCCAGTGCAGCTGCTAAACGCTCACTTACATCAGTAAAAGGTACTGAAAAATGATTGCAGGCAAACTTTTTAAACAATACTCATCCCGTTTTATCTTCTTCATGGATATATTTTAGTATGTATACACTAAATTATAATTAATATGAAAATCAAAAAATGTGGCCCTTATCTGGCCATTCTTATGTTTGTCACCAACAGGAAGATCTTAAAATTCTACAGGGCCTGTCCTGTCATAAAGCATACACAGACCCCCCATGCCTATTGTGACTGTTGCTATTTGCTTGTGGTGTTGTTCCATTCAGTATAGGTGCAGTGAAAGTTGTATTTCTTTTCCTTAATAGTGTTCACACAAATGTTATTAGTTCAAGTACAACTAAACTCTCACAAAAGACTTAACTTAGTTTTAAAAAGCTCTGTAAAAAAATTGGATTGCATTTTTAAAAAATGCATATTTCCCCTTTGTTCAGCTTTTCTCTTCCTGCACTGTGCACATCCTCTAGACTCCAATAGGCACATCCTGTGGACATGTGTGAGGTCCAGTTGTGGATGAATCACAGTTTTACTGCCGTGACTACGGCAGAATGTACAAGTTCACTGTGTTGGCACGGCTAATTGTAGTCCAAGCAGGGCCAGAGGCAAGGGTAACAATGATGCACCTGAACTAAGACATACCTGAGTAAGTGTTTAGCTATCCTGTCACAAGCAAGAATTCAGCATCATCAGGATTGCTAGATAATGCAGGGGGAATATACCTGCTTTGTATAAGTCGCTCCCTAACCGGTAGTGATACATGCAGGCAGGTGAGCGTTTTCACTGCCTGCAGGTGTCCACCCAGATGATCCTGCCACTGGCAAGTTCCTGCTAGTGACAGGATCTCTAGTGTGACATGGTCCTAAGCGTGGTCATCCTAGGAAAGGAAATATCTCCGGATACACCTTGATGGTACAAAGCAGGAAATAAACAAGAAAAGGGATTACGCTTTTTGATATTACAGGAACATGTGCAGCAACATATGTGGTTCAAATATTTGGGTTTGGATACACTTTTATTTGGAGGGAATGTCTAGAGCTGGGTCATTCAGCAGCTTTGTTTAGCTCTCAGGAGTATCAGAAGCAGCTATATCACTATTACTTAGTATATCCTTACTATAATTCTAGGCTCCATTTATGTCTAACTTGGGGTTCTGGCTGTTTCCCATTTTTATATATTTTCTGTATTGATATAGCATTGACATATCATGCAATACTTCACAGAATAGATAATGCCATTTAGAAAAAAAATCTTGCCCCATGTAAAAGTTCAGGATAGACCGGTGCCCTTTGTTCCAACAAAGTGTACAGACCAGGGACGTCGAGTTAAGAGGTTGCAAAAAAAGCACAAAGAGAAGACATGAAAACAAGAGACATTGAAAACATTTACTAGTAGAAATAGAAAATGGAATTGCAACTGATGACCCAATTCTTAATGGTACAGGCTCAGGGGTGTCATCTGATTATGTCTTCACTATCTGGAGTTATTAACCTGGGACAAGTATATAGAAAAAGAATTCATATTTTTGAGATTTCACAGACTGTCTTCTTGTTTTAGATCAACGACGCTCTGTGTAATAAGGCAAAGATCAGTATACCAGCTCATAAAACGTCAGCTTCAACAAACAAGTCAGCAGAGCCACCTCCCATATTTTGCCCTTCAGGTCCCTTTTAATTTTCTACATTCTACCAAAAGCCAATACATTTTGGGTGGAAATTTAAAGTACACTAGTAAAAGTATGCCCATTCCAGAACAGGCAAGGTTGGGAATAATAAAAAAGAAGTCTAAAACTTAATTTAGTTAGAACTAGATACATTCAGAATAGCATATAATACTCGTTATGTTTGCTAAAACACTGTATATTATAAACAAATGCCCTTAAAAAAAAAATACTTGATTTTACCTCTTGTTACCCCTTGTTCTATCTCATGCTATTGGTCTCTTGCATCCTATGTGCAGTCAGGTCTTGTCCACACACGCTTCCGCAATGGCTGGATTGTATTTCTCAGGGTGGGTTCCCTGATGGTGACAACAGTGGCCTATGCTTGCCTAATGTGTGTTGAAATGGCCACTTACAGTCTCCAACAGGAGCCCATGTGACATGGCAACAAGTCAGGAGGAGCACAATTGGAGACAGAGACAGACTGCCTTCACCCTGTAACAGGACATGCCTGAACAAAAGTCTTTAGGCAAGGATGACTTTTTAAATCACATTTATTAAAGGTTATATGAGATTTTAGTGATTGAGTTTACATACGCTCTAAGTATCAGATACACAAGATATTCTAGCATACTGGAAAACCTGTAACAGAATGCACAATTGGGGTGAGTTGTGTAGCATTCTCTAGATCAGGGGTCCTCAGACTTGCTGAACAACGGACTAGTTTACAGTCCTTCAGACCTTGTTCAATTAGAGTAAAAAAATGCCCCAGGGTTGGTGAGCAAAAAAATGGTCTAGCACCTGTGGTTAGTAGTAGGAGGAATAATGCCACATCTTTGGAGTGAATAGGACGAGTAGTGTCCCATCCTTGGTATAAGTAGGAGCAATAGTGCCCCATCATTGGTATCAAAGGCAAGACTACGGCCCCCTCATTGGTGTCAATAGGAGGAACAAGTAAATCATCCATCCTTGGTGTCAATGGAAGAAACAGTGCCCGATCACGGGTGTCAATTGGAGGAAAAGTGCCCTATTGTTGGTGTCAGTGAGGGAAATAGTGCCTCATTGTCGGTGTCAGTGGGAAAAATAGTGCCTCATTGTTGGTGTCAGTGGGAGAAATAGTGTTGCATTGTTGGTGTCAATTAAAGGAAAAGCGTCCCATTGTTGGGTGCCCGTTGAAGGAATAGTGCCCCAAGGAATGGTTACCAGCAAAAAAAGGACAACATCTGGCTCGTGTGCTGCTGTTTGCTCTCTTTACCCAGTAAAGTAGTGCAAAATCCAATATCCAGTAATCAAAGCAAACAATCAGAATTCACCATGTATTGATTTGACTTAAGTTAAAGAAATTCTGATTGGTTGCTAGGATTGTCACAGCTTGTGCACATTTATGAATAAGGATAGGGCTAAATAAGTAATATTTGACCTCAGAGACTGACAAAATATCCTCGTCCAAACATTGCTTGTTTGTACTGCTGCAGAAGATTATGGGGCTATTAGTCTCATGAGATTAACCGCTATACTTAAAAAGGGAAAAATTACCTGATAATTTCCTAAATAAGCGATTGGGCAATTACTATCCCACTCCTATTGAAGCCTATCGAGGAGCAAAGCCTATCGAGGAGGTTAATCGTTAATGCTATGTGACTGATTTGCGGCATTGTACGATCAGAGGTAAACAGTCGTAAAAACGTGTGACTGTAGAACATTAGTATTGAACCTCTATTGCTCTCCAAAAGAGAAAGGAATCCCTCGGTAATGGGAGATTTTAGGCTTCCGTTCACATGACTGAAAATCGCCCATATAGCCCTGGCCTAAAGCCGTTCCAATCCACCTCCATCATACAGCTGTGATTTTACTGACCTGCAAAGAAATATACTAGATCCTATTTTCTTCTCAAAGTTACTATTCTTGATGATATAGTACCAGATATCTGAACTCATGCATACATT